AATACGAAATTTTCAAAAAATCATATCATCTGTAATTTCAACAATCGTGATATGGTATATATGTTAAATTGAAGCTTAAACATTCTAGTTTATGATATGACATAAAAACTATAAGATTATATTATTGAAATTTCTAGAAAAAAGTTATTGAAGAAGAAATTGTAAAATTTACAAAGAATACGAAATTTTCAAAAACACCAAATTTAAAGAAAGAATATTTTGAAATTTCCTGTTAGTCCAAAAAGACAGATTTGCTTGAGTTTTTGTCAATTCCGAATTGAGCAACATTTCTGATCAATTTGGTTTAAGCTGCATCGGATTCCTCATCATATCTAAAACACCAAATACAAAGAAAGAATATTTTGGCATTTCCTTTTGTCCAAAAATTTTAAAGCAAATTTAATAAAGATTTAATATGCCAAACATAATTTCTTAGTTTTTATAAACATCGTTCATATGACTTACTATTAAAGATGGACTTTAAGAGATCGTATCTCAAGAACGAATAGAGATATCACGATGAAATAACAAGCACTTTAAAGCCAATTTAAGAAAGATATTATGTGCCATAAACATAATTTATGTTTTGCATATGATACAGACTTGATAGTGAATTTTTGAATTGCGTAACCATAAACATGAATTTTTACATATCTCAAAAACTAATTGAGATAGAACTTTTAACACTTAATATTGAAGTCAAAAAGTATAAAATTTAACTTTAACATATATCAACACCTTCACGATTTCTTTGAATGGACGCAATCCGTCCTAGTTTAGCGACGCACGATAAATTTTAATTCGTCTCAGTGTCTCTCCACGAGGAACAACTCCCCCGTTGTTCCTCGTGGGGTGGGCTTAGGGGTGACTCACGCGGTCCGGGGTGCATTTGTTAGCGCCCCATTCAGGGTGCTTTCTCACGTAGAATAGGTGGACAATTAATGGGTATTCCAGCGCACGTGCGCCCGGCCAGATTCCCAAATCGGATTAGCGGCTACTGCCATTCTGAACGGGAACCTCTTTCGCGCCTCGAAAGAAAAAAACGATACGATACGTACCTGTATGAGACTGCATTCATCCATCCCTTTGAAATGAACGGGAACAATGGGTTGTCTCACACGTGAAACGACCCCTATGTGGCCCAATTGAGGCAATCAACGGAGGTGCAGATCTGGAACTACAGCTGCAGGTACTGCAGACTAATCAACTCCAATTCGGGTCCTATTAACCGGTGCCCGTATACTCGGCATGTATGAGGGTGCCAGGATCTGAGTTCTCCAGATGACAGTTTACCTCGGGGTTGGATCCGTTTCAATCCCGAGGTATTGATATTAACCAATTATGTTTTTGTAGTAGTTTTTAGTAAAAATATTAATCGTAGGATTAAAATTACTGAACAATAAACGTAGTAGATCAAACGTTGGTGGTTCGAATGTCGGGGTGACGCAGATCTGACATGTCCTGTTAAACCACGTTCCCGACGGACGTCCCGGCGCGTGCCGTCGTCTCTTGTCTATCCAAAGCAGTTATACGGCGATTTGTTCTGCAAGGCTGCTCCTCTCCCCCTTCGTGCACGTCAAATTCATGCGTAGATAATCAGAACAGTTTCGAAATTATCGCTGCGAATAAAATTCTGGGCCAAGAACGTCGTTTTACTCTTTCTCTCTCGTTCTCGGAGAGTCTGATGGAACCCCCCAGGTTCCAGGTCCAGCGTCGCCGATATAATTAATTGATTGTATTGTCCCCAAAGTAATTACCTGGCTTTCTGCCTTCCTGCCCGCTCCCTAGGACATATTTCATCCTGCTCCTTCTGGTCACTGAGCATCTGAACAATGGGGGTTTCGTCCACGCCATAAAAATGTATTAGGAACATTTCCACCTCTTTGCACACTTAAGTCACCCTATTAATTCTTGTATTTTATCATTATTTACATAAACGTTTGGGATTTCCTTCGAGAGATCAATTGAGACCGTTCCCGCGCGAAATGGGATAGGGATAAGTCTTTTCGTAAACACATTTGGGATATAGGCCGAGAAAGTTATTTACCGTGCAAAAAATATTCATGGAAACCGGATACGCAATCGTCCTTATTGATGGCCTCGCCATAAAATCACCTTAGACCATGATCTACGACTCTCCTCTTTTCGCACAAAGATTATGCACTCTGAAATATGAAAAATCAAAATCGATTCTTATTATGCATCGACACGTTCCGGGTTTCACCTTATCCAATCTTTCGATAGGTGGGTTAAATTTGAATTTTGAATGTGTTTGGACAAGCTAGTTCTGACCTTGAATTATCTTGGGCTGGTGATGCATTACGTCAAGCTATAACCGTTTATGGATAAGGGTCGTGGACCCCCGCAAGGGGCGTAAAAAATATTCAAACAACCCCGAAACTATAAATCGTGTACCTCGAAAATACGCGAAAGGAATAAATGGACTGCCATTAATAAAGAAAGAAAGAGGAGTTTTTCACGAAGCGAAACCAATCCAATAATAAAAACATAAACCGCCCACTAGAATATTTGATTATACTGTTTTAATTCAATAGCGAAGTGCTCGCAGAGGAAGTTTTAATAAATCTCGTTTCGGTCTGTCTTGAGTTCGATTTATCTTCGCGGAATGAACTTTATTCAATTTTAAAACTTCGTTTTTGTATCCTAATTTTTATGCAAAAGGTGTTTTTTTCTTTTAGATGTATATAAAAAAATTTTTCTTTCAATTCCCTATTTAATAACTTTTTCTACATCTTTGCTACATCTGGGAGTGGTCAAGACAGATCATGATTTTGCACAGATCATGTATTGATAGTGTCAAGATTATGATTCAAGGCCAAACTGTCATCAGGATCTCAACATCGTCCAGATATCCTATAACATCCTTCAACAGCGTTCTGGGCGGTATTAAATGTGGTCTTCAACAATCCTTGACACTCTTTCTCGTTCTATATTTCATTATAATATCTCAATTTGTTCTTCTGTGTCCATTCAAAGAAATCGCGAAGGTTGTGTTGTGACACTTTTTGATTTCTATATACAGGGTGATTCATTAGCTCTATGACAAACTTTGGCAGATGAAAGGTGATGCGATTCTAAGGAAAAAATGTTATATGAATATGGGTCCGATTCATTTTGGTTAAATGAAAATGTAACATAAAAAATAAGTTTAAAAATTACAAAAATTGTTCGAAATGTCCTCCTTCAGCTTGAATATATCAGCTTATATATATTCAGCTTGATATTTGGATCATTCCGTATGTTATTAGCTGCATCTTGAATTCTGTCCAGTAGTTGCTGACGGGTAGTAATTTCTACATGGTACACAAGCTGCTTCATGTGTCCCCAGAAATAATAATCCAGCGGATTTAGATCTGGGGATCGTGGTGGCCAGACTACTGGACCTCCATTGCCAATCCATTTGTTTGGAAAATGTTCATGTAACCAAGCGATGACTTCNTAAACCTCCTTATCTTTCTCGCAAGATTACCTTCAGAACTGATGTACACAATTTGAATCTTAGGCATGGATTTTGTATTACAGTTCCGCTGCATAGATCGTCAAAATTTCAGTGCTCGTTTTCCTATCAAGTAGCTCGTTTTTGGAATGCGATTCCCAGTTCTGCGAGGTGTGCCCGCTCGGTTCAGTTGTTTAGATCTATTGTTTTGCGCGAGAGGGTGTTTGATCGGTTTTTGTGATAATTGATATAGTGTTGCTTTTGATTCTTTTGGTAATTTAATAATCCTAACTACTTGTTTTTATTTTTGTTTTTATTTTTATTATCTCATTTTCATTGATACTGCTCAGTTTTGATTTGATTTAAAAAAAGCAAGTAAAATCAGTGGCATTGTTTTGCCTTTTCTGCCCTTTCTGACCCTTTGAGCTATAATTTAAGTTTAATATTATTGTACTTTTTTTTATTATTGTATTTTGTTTTTTCTAATTTGGCTCAATAAATTATTATTTATTATTTATTTAATAACTCCTATCTCAATTAGTTTTTGAGATATGTAAAAATTAATGTTTATGGTTATGCAATTCAAAAATACATAAGTCCGAAATTTGAATGTTTGAAAGGATCATTAAATTGTTTTAAATTTATAACAATCAAATATGTAGAATTTAGGTTTAAATATCATAATAGACAGGTTTATGGAAAGGAAGAAATTATTGACGGTTTGATGAATGTAAAAACCTGCTCTATAAAAATAGAAACCTGCAAAATTAATTTGCAAATTTCAATATTATCTTAAAGTGCAAGTTGTTGACATTTTAGATAACACTGTATATATAAAAAGAAATTTCATCAAACCTTTTTATTTCGTTTTGGTGATCATAAGTAGTGATTTATATCAGTCCAAGAGAGGCCAGAACAAATTCCTTTGGATATTTATTACTCAAGACAGTGCCAGCGTAATATTAGCCCGGGATCTTATGTTATGTTGATGTACATCTCATACAAATCTTACGTCATTTATCACTCTTTACCTCATTGTAATTTAAGTTTAGACCACCCCAACGTTACAAAAACGCGCTCTTTCAATCAGCTTATTGACTGTCAGCGTAGATGACAAAGTGACAGGAACTGGATGATGCACACGCATCGAATGCAGCGTGGGGTCTTTTGGATTTATTAGATTAGCACGTACTAATATGATTCGCTTATTGGATTAAATGGCATCGATGCGAGCGAAATCACTAAGCTCTCGTAATTAAATTCGATATCGAGGTTTGTCTCCATAAAAACGTACGGGAATCAATCTGAAGGTGATCAATGGCGATTCCGGAACTCTGTGTATGCGTCCCGACAGGACGAGGACGCCGAGGGGGAGTGCAGATAACCACGTCATCAATCAGGTTTATCTCGGACTTCAATCCGTAGGGCATCGCATCGAATTTAGGTAATTTCTCCGCGAGGGAAGACAGATGTGCCGCGGATAGTGATCTTATCAAAAATCTGAAAGGAAGGAATTTAATGTTGTTGTTTCTATTTGTTACAGTTGACGCAATGAGTCCGGACAGCAATCACAACGAGATTTCCGAAAATTCCGAGTGCCTAAGAAAGATTCTTCTTAATGGAGAAACGGAAGATAAAGAGATCGTCGAGTACATGCAAAGAAGAGACACTGCGGTGATTTTTCCCGAGGACACTCAAATCGGTGAGTTATAAATTTCGAAAAATGATGTCTCCGCCTATTTGGAAAAGTTCCAATAGAGTGCGTATGCCAATCTAATTGGAAAATTTGGAACGCTCGTCCAAGTTGGACCCTCCCCTTTCGCCGTAAATTACTTTAAATCTTTACAATTCCTTCTCATTCCTGTTCCGGCTATTCCGGGAGCTTATTGCTCCAGTAAATCGCGGCTATTACACAATAACGCAGAAAATTCGCGATAAGATTGACGATCACGCATTTGGTTACAATCCAAATACCATAACCTTATGTTCTATGGGCGGACGGTTGGCAAATGGCCGCAAAAGCGGCACTCGTAAACTGTAACCGAAGACGACAAAATATGAACGTGCGAATCTCGCTCGGAGAGTAATTTGCGATTTTTATTTATCGCATAAAGTGTCTGAGGTGTGCGGCCATGCGAGTTCGACTCACCCCCAAAGGGATTCCCAAGCTTTAATTTATATCTCGTTTTAATGAAAGTAATTCCCCAGGCGACAATCGACGAGGACGTGTGGACAAGTCCGATTTTGTATCTTCGTTTCGTTTAGAGAACGTTCGATCGCAATCTTTTCTGGAACGGGGAAAACTTTATTTGCAACATGCTGATAAAAGTATCTCTCTTATTACCAAGAACAAGATATGGTTAATTTATTATTTTGCTCTTATTTGAAATTGTTGTGTATCGTTTCGGTCGATCCATTCGACGAAATAATTGTTCCACAAACAGTCTCAATTCGAATTTATAGATTAAAATTTCATTTTCCTGGAAATTTCAATAATATCATCTTATAATTTTTATATCATATCATAAAGTAGAATCTTTAAGCTATAATTTAATATACATATCATATCATAATTATTAAAAATACGGTCGACATGATTTTTTCAAAATTTCGTATTTTCTTTGATTTATAAATTTGATAATTTCTTCATTAATAAAATTACTTAGAAATTTCAATAATATCACCTTACAGTTTTTATATCATAAACGAGAATCTTTAAGTTTCGATTTAACATACATATCATATCATTATTCTTAAAAATACAGTAGATATGATTTTTTGAAAATATCGTATAATTTTTAATTTATAAATTTGACAGTTTCTTCTTTAATAATTTTTTTCTGGAAATTTCAATAATATTATAATATAGTTTTTATATCATATCATAAACTAGAATCTTTAAGCTACAATTTAACATATCAAGCATGCCGTTATCTATAATAATACGGATGATATGATTTCTTGAAAATTTCGTATTATTTTTAATTTATAAATTTGACAATTTCTTCTTTAATAATTATTTCCTGGAAATTTCAATAATATTACCTTATAGTTTTTATATCATATCATAAACCAGACTCATTAAGCTTCAATTTAACATATGAAGCATACCGTTATCCTTA